GCTTCTGCTTGCTACCTGTTAGGTGGCCCGGCTACCTCTGAACCTTTCTCGAGGCAACTGGCAACACATATGTGTGAGCTGGAACCAGAAAGGAGGCGACTGGCAGGCCTACCAGGGCGGGAAATTGAGGGGAGAAGGCCACGGCCTGGCAGCTGGTCATGAAATTAGACCTGGAGGAGTGCTAGTCCTTGGTCAAGAGCAGGTAACTGTCTTGGGACCGAATGAATAGGTTGTAAGCGTGTTCAATAAGGTGAATTCAAGAGGAAGGATCTGAGCTCGTGAGTGTAAATGTGTTTTTGGGGTCAGCAAGGCTCTGAAATGTGCATCTAAAAGCACTCCTTTTTTTGCACCCTAGGATTCCCTGGGTGGAGGCTTTGATTCAACTCAAGCTTTAGTTGGAGAGTTGTCCCAGATGGGTCTTTGGGACCGAGTCCTGTCCGCCGACCAGGTGGCCAGTTTGGCTCGGTGTGGAACGGTGACCCAGGGCGGCGTGGCTCCTTGGACTGAACGTGCAGTGGAGGTTTATGGTGGAGCCACCAAGTACCCTGGGGAGCCTTGTAGTAAACATAGCCGGAGCTCCAAGTGACAGATGGAGCGTTTGAGGAATAGGAGGGCGGAAAGGGGGGGGCGGAAAGTTTCAGCCTTTTGAAAAACAAAAAGTTAGTATTCCATCTGCGCTCGTTACCATTGGTACTAAAAATCTTGTTGAAACAACTCTCGGTGGCAGTGATATTATGAGTGTTTAGGAAAGCAAGTATCTTTGCAGCCATTCCGCTCACAGGAAGTGAAAATGAAAGAGCCTGCAAAGTTGATCTCCACTTTCAACAATACTTGTTGTAGTCTGGGGGATTTGGAAGGTTTTGGAATGTCTCTTTAAGGATGTAATTATAACCCTATTAGCATAATTCAGCCTTAATGACCTTTCCTCAAGCTTTTCCAAGTTCCCCAATTTGTGTCAGTAAGGGGAAAATAAATGGAGTAAAGTGGATCGAAAAAGTCGACACACCCCTGTTCAAATGACATTTATGATATCAAACAAGACAAAGATAAATAATTTCAAAACTTCTTCGACCATTAAAAGACCCATGTAAACGCTGCTGGTTTTTTTTGTCCTTCCGAGAGGGGAAGTACAAATAAACAACCGCAATCATGTTTTCCCCCAAAAAGTTGGGAAATTTTGTGACGGTCCAATGACAACAAAGTTGAACTTTTTAGGCAATAATTGTAAAAGCTATGTTTGGCCCAAACACAACTGTGCGCATCACCAAAAGAACACCATGCTGACACCGAAGTGCGGTGTTGGCAGCATTATGGGAGGGGCCTGATTTCTTCAGCTGGAACAGGGACGAGATGTTTCAGAACAATTTTGCATTTTTTAAAGGGGCGCGTAGCCTTTTCATATCCACCGCAGACTAACCTCTGCTTGATTAAGACATTAATTAACAGTTAGGTCCCATGGGAGGTATGTGAAGCACTGCTTCACATAGCTTTCTCGAACTGTAGTCACAAGGTGTCATCTAGTTTTTGTCCCCCCAGCTGGAATGAGTCACAGCCCCTGAGAAGGATATTTTTCGCCATGCATTGTACTCCAGTAATAGCTAACAAAATGGGGGAATCGACTGTGCTGCAAACGATGTGCGTTGTCATATGTGATATTTGGAAAGCAAACATTTTTTTATTCCTTAAAGGGTTTCCTGGCGCAAACCAGCAATCGGAATGCAATGTTTTAGTGTTTTAACGTTAGCCCACAACTGAGCCGTTTAAAAGGAGGTAAGAGTTCTCAAGAGACATTGTCAATCACGGTGAGATGTTGCAAAAACGTTACAAGGATGGGGAGGAATATCAAGAGGCTGAGGGCAGCAAGGTGATGAAAGACAAAGAAAAGCAACGAGAAGTACAAAATCGTTTTTTTTTTTCTCCTCTCTCTGACTGCGTTATATGGAACCTTTCGACCTGCATGTTATATTCATACTTCTAATGTCTTGCAGGTGCAACGTGGTCACCTTAGCGTCACAAATAAGGACAGTGCCTATTGCATCATCCAAGCTTGTGGGTGGATTTTGGTGCGTTAGATTGATGAATGTGATGATGAACTTGATAAAAAAACTGATCATTCTACTCTCTCTTTACGGTTATGTCAGGCACACTCATTTTCTTCGTTCTTTTCGGGGCATTCTGAGGACATTTTTCGTAGTTGCCAATTCAAAAAGACATTTTTATATTTCCATCTGTCGGTTCTTGTCATCTTCATCCTCCAATCCATGCATGAGCTCCTGGCTCGGTTTATTTTTGGGCCTGGTTGAATCCACAATATCTTGAAAATCACAAGAAATCTCACGCTCACGCGTTGTAAGGTGTGGCAGAGTGAGAGGCGAAACATTTTTTTGCACATTTGCTACACCGGTGTTAAAACGCGTTCTGTATCATTCTGATGCCAAGTCCACACTGCAATGTAGTTTGTTGATGTGTTTTGACCCGCAGAATGTTGATGTGAAACAACAATTTGAAAATAGAAACAAACATGCCAAATCATGTTGTGCCTCTTGTTGTCTATTTGTATGCTTTCCAGTCTGTGCAATGCTGAAAAGATGTTTTTTCAGTTTGTGTAATGTACGTCACGGCTTTTTGGCACAATTTGTAAGTGTCGTGTCATTATACTAAGAACATACAAAGAAAAAAAAATAAGACTGTTATGTCTTTGTGGGGATGTTGTTTTTGTTGTTTTTTTTAGATTTTTACAATGGTATACATCTAATCGACCGTTATGTCTTTGTGGGGATGTTTTTTTTTTAGATTTTTACAATGGTATACATCTAATCTGTTATGAACATAAATACACTGGTGAAAAAAATGGTGGGTTGAATGTACTCAACTTTATTTTGTCAAGATCGCCTGGATTTAGATACATTTTTTTTAGAATAGATTATACAGTACATCTTCTTAAAAATGTGATGTAAATCCAGATGACTTTACCATGCGTAGCCAATTGACAAAGTAAAATGGAGTCAATTCAACCCGCCGTTTCTTTGCAGTGTACTTCGCATTTGTCTTGTTGTACTGTGACGTTTATTGTCATTTATTACAATTAAATTCTGTCTTTTCACATGGAGAATGCGTGTCTCCTAAATCTCTGACATGTTACCATGTTGATTTACAAAAATTAATTATCTCACACAAATACAGGCAAAGTGGCTTAGGTGGATGAGTGGTCACCTCCCAACCCCCGACCCCTCCAAGGTTGTGGGTTCAACTCCCTACGACTGTGACCATGACAAAGGGTCCTTCAGCAAAATACGGAAGCCCCACTTGCCCCTGATGCGAGATCATTGGTAGGAAGGAAGAGAGGGCATTAAAGCACTTGGAGTAGCTGCAATGAGTTCATGCAATCCCTCTTTCTTACGAACGTACTGAGCATTTAAGTGCATCAGAAGGTCAGGGGCTCGTGTCAGACTCCTACTGTCAGCTGGCCAGAGTCACACAACATAAGACTGAAATGGATTCAAAGCCCTATTAACCTTACGTGTAATCTGCTGTGTGTGAGAACCTCCTAACAAGCTTCACGGTCCACATGCAGCAGAAACGCAAAGGCGTGATTCGCAGTTTTGAAGTGACGTATCCCTCGCGATTCATGTCACTTGACATCACGCTTTCAACAGCAAGGAGAGGCAATTTTCGGCACACTATGGATATTTCTGGATCGGGCACTTCTCTCTATTCCTCAGTGGTACCGAACAGAATGAATAGTGGAAGAACCAAATTGAGTGCGTGTTGCATTATTTCCCTAGTTTTCCCCAAAGCATGACACTTGGTGATCTGGCTCTGACTGAGCTACGAAAATCCAAGCCACCAAAAATGCAGCATTGTGTGTATGAGCATTGAAAAGTTGGATGGATACAAACCAATGCAGGGATTTAAATCTGTGACTTTTCCAGTAAAAAAAAAACAAAACAAAACAAAAAAACTCACAGGCTGACCATCTTGACCATCTTTAGCGGTGGACATATCCACAACCAAAAGATGGTATTCCCTGCTGGATTACTAGTCCAGAGCTAATCCATAATGTTCCATCTAGGAATGGACAGTACGTAATCCCATATAATCCAGGCAACGGATGGCCCAACAGTTTGCAACGTTATGATTGAACTCCTACAACCACGCTGGTTCATCCCAGGTTGGGATCAAATAAAAACTAGGACAAAAATAGTTCCTCGGTCTACACGATTAATGCAGCATTTTAAAAGAATCCATTTTGTTCAGTGTTCTTTTGTTGCTTTGTATGAGGGGCGAATCTGATTTTCATATTTGCATGAGAAGATTGTTCCGTGTGATTTATTTTTTTTCCCCTTAACGACTCATCTGGGCTTTAAATTCACAGGTACTAATTGAACCTTGAGGCTGTGATTTTTTTTCCCTTCCCTGTCAAATGCTGCAGCTCCAGGGAGAGTCAGAAACTAAAGTAAAACTCAACTGGGGATTTTAGATTTCAAGCCGTTGTAAATATCGACTGGCCTTATCCTTGACAAGAACATTTTCTTGTGGTGGAGAGAAAGGAGACTTGAAACATTCTTTTCAATGAGAAAGAGTTTTGGAATTTCTCTGTGATGTCATAATGATACCTTCAAAATCCCAAAATTTAAAAACTCCTCATTTTCTTTGTAATTAATCCACCGACTGTACTCTGCTTCCACCTGGCTGCCCATCAAACACACACACACACACACACACACACACACACACACACACACA